TCTGTGTAATACACATTTCTTTTTTTTTTAGTAGTCTAAGTAACCAAATACTTTCAAACAGAAGTATTGTGTATTCTTAGGTTGAAAATGTATTTTTAAAGTATTGTTATTCTTTCAGAATTAATAAGTTATTGAAATAGAGCTCAACATTTAACAAATGAAAGTTACAAGTCTTAAACACATATACTAACTTTCAAGTAACAGTTCTGATTGGTTCTATCCAGTAGTTTTTGTGCTGACGCGATATTTTTTTTTGTCAAATGCTCTACTTTTCTCCTTAAGAGTGTTAATCGTTTTATAAACGTTTTCTTCGAATTAAAACAATTCTGCACAACAAAGTATTCCCATATGACAGATTAGTAAAAAAAAACACCAGCTATGATTTGCTATTGACCCGAATGATCATTGTTATATCAGATTTTTATCCACTTCACTCGTATATTAATGCGCAATATTATTGTGTCATGTATTAGTAGTTTAATATACATCGTTGTACTGACAATGTGTCATTGTTCGATATTTTTATTTATGACAGGAAGTGCACGAAACTATACTTTATTCTTTAAAATGCATAATGTAACATAGTTTATTATTTTTTCGAGCTAAAGAAACCAAGTTATCAAAAAGCACTGAATGCATAAAATTGGAAATGACTATAGTTTAAACATTTTTTAATATAATTCAGAAATAGCTAATGACGGTCAGAATTTGATCTGTGACAAAGAGTTTGGGTAAACCAAATGATTAAATGACCTGATGCTGTTTTAACTTAAGCAAGCCGAAGAAAAAATATGTTTATCTAGTAGCCCATCTGGTGGCATAAATATGAATTTATCTAATTTTTCTTATCTACGTTTTAATTCCAATTTCTGGTTATCTTAGATACATTTTATCGATCATTTTATGAAATGTAAACAGAAAAAACTGGCGTTTGACAAACTTGTTATCTATCGACCTGATTCGAAAACCTTTTAAGTATTAAATGTCTTAACTTTTTGTTTCGTATCAAATTACCTACCATTGGAAAAAGCAAAGTTTCTAAATACAAGCGTGTAATTAGGATTCTCATATATAGCCAAATTTGTTGAATACATTTATCAGAGCATGTTGATAAAAAACAAAAGGTAAAAGATTAATCCAAATTCTCTTACTAAGACAATTACGTGCTAGCTCCCGAATTGTTCGAGGAAAGGAATCTGTTGATTTCGATGGAAAATAGTTCGATGTTAGGAACGACAGTCAATGGATGTAGAACAACGAATGGGGCAGATTGGCGAGCCTCAAAGGAGCCTAATAGTCATCATCATTACCGCTTGTTTCCTTCAAAGTAAACACGTAGTGACAAATGGTGTTGTCCCAATAATGACTCCACGAGGAGAAACTGTCCTGTTGCCCGCACGGAAACTGGAAATTAGAGTTGTTCATCTCGTACTGTTTCCAACACGATTAAGAGTGTACATGTCTGCGCGTTTAGTTTTGTTTCTTTGGAAGAACTTCTTTACTTCATGTTGTTCAGATCAGAAGCCTGAGAACTTAAGTTTAGCAATATGCGGGTGGCGGTCGTGAGGAGTGGGAGTGTTGATAATACATAAGTAAACAGAGGAATCCCCCTTTTACATAGGGCTAAAACGGTTTCCGTTACAAATGATCTGTTGCACGAAAAGGTTTGATTATTTGAATTTAGTCGTGCGAATCACTTTAATGATAGGTTAGACAGGAATCGTAACGAATCTCTTCTGAAGTATTGAAGAAGACTCCAAAAATAACAAAAAAGGGATGATTGGCCGAACTTTCTACAGGCACAAAAATAATGGGCGGATTTTCGAAAATAATTTTAAAAGAAATTATGAGCAACTGAACTATGTGTGTTTGTAATTAAGCACAAAGCTACACAACGGGCTATCTGTGCTCTGCCATGAACTATGTACGTAACTTACAAGTGTAGTCGCTTATAAGAACACTTTTTCTCAAAATTCTGATTGATATTTTCGTTTATTATCAAACTATTATTATTTCTCTTTTTACTGAACACAGGGTCACTGGAAGTTAGTTGCAGTTTTAAATTTATTTAACTGCAAGCCATGATGGGCTATTTGCGCCGTGCCCAGCGTGGGTTTCAAAACCCAATTTTTAAAGTTGTAAGCTTAAAGGTTATCGTTGAGCCTTCAGGGGCTTCAGTTTAGAAACTTGCTCCATAACTAACCAGTAAGTCAAGATAGCCCAAGAGTTGGCGGTGGGTGGTGATGACTAGCTGCCTCCCCTCTAGTCTTACACTGCTAAATTAGGGACGGCTAGCGCAGATAGCCCTATTGTAGCTTTGCGTGAAATTCAAACACAAACAAACAAGTCAAGATAGAGACTATGATATAGTTCCTAATTACACGGTATTCAATTGCGATCAATTCTATTGTTAATGTTATAATCAGTTATGATACTAACAATTTTTTCATTGTAATTCAATTCTCAAAATTACATCAGATATCGCAATGATAGATGAAGAATGAATCTTACCTCTTAAATTTTGAAATTCGTGAAATATGACTGGTAGGACATTTCTTTTACCTCTCCTCTATAATTGACAATAAAATAAATAAGATGAGTCGTCTGATGAACAGTAAATAATAAAAAATAAGTTATTGGCATAGAATAACCTAACAAGATGTGGAGAAACACCGTCCTATTTTGTTATGCAATATATAGCTGCAAGAGTTTCCAAAGACATTACACTGATCATGATAAGTTTGTATTGGTCCTCTTTTATTTTCTAAACATTAAACAAGCAAACAAACTAATAATTATTTACATCACATAAAACAGTTAAAGGTTACTTGAAGTTTATAGTATTTGGTTATGACAAGGTAAAATATTACAATTACACTCTTTCCCTCTCGCTCATTTTTGTGAAAATCAAATATCTGGTGATCCGTCAAGTGATCTGAAATCAAAATGAGTGGTCATTCAATCAATACTCGAAATGAGCATTTCACGAAGTTTGACGGTAATATGAAGTATTGTCCCTTCGAATTTCAACAGCAGCCTGGCACTGATGTTGCATTTCCTGGGATATTCTTGACAACACCTCTGTTTTAGGCCATCTTTACTTTATGGAATCCGTTGACGGCACGTGACGCGTTTCCCAAGCATATCCCATGCATGCTCGATGGGCTTGAAGTTGGGTAAACACGCAGGTGTGCTATACCGTCAATTCTATTTTTTCAAGGAATGTATTCACCAGTTTTACATGGTGAGAGTCGAGTATTCTTCTTCTTTAGGCTAAAGTCATGGTCATTTGCATCAGCATTTTGTATTCACCAGTTTTACATGGTGAGAGTCGAGCATTCTTCTTCTTCAGGCTAAAGTCATGGTCATTTGCATCAGCACAATACGTCCCTATAATATATAGCATTAACCGTACCATTCCACAGGATGTAGAAGTTAACACGTCAACTAGTGCTTAATCCTTCCCATATAATACGTCTACAGTCACCATATGCGTTATGTTTATGTGTGAAAATGTAGGGTGGATCTAATTTCAGAGTATTTATCGATGAATATATGCATCTTATCTGGTTGCAGAGTGAAGCGCAATATATCTGTCAACATAATATTGCTTCACATGTTATCGGTCAACTGGACGTGTTCTTAGCCTTGTGGAATCAGTTGCTAACCATCTGTAAACTGACATGGCGTTCAGCTGAGTTGGCGAACATCTGATTCAGTCTCGGAGTAGGTGTGTTACTTTTCATAAAGCCAGCATCGATAGTTAACGTTCTTCTGTTTGTGAATGATGGCGTGTATTGTTCAGGTGGCCAAGCAAGTGTGCCATTTGCTTGGAAGTGGCTTTACATTATTCTAAGCATAACTTAAGGCATCTGTAGCCAGTTCACGGTAACCTGTTATGATATACTGGCTTCCATTTGTCAGATGGCTCTCCACATGAATGAAACATCCATACGTTTTCTTTGAGGTCTAGCAAAAGGCATGTAAACAACTTGGAACACTTTAAACTCTGACACTTCAAAGGGACAACTGAAACAAGAGTGTGTGAGGCCTTGATAAAATATAATAAAGAATAAGTTGACACGTCTAAATAAAAAAATTTTAGTTTCGAGCAGACGCTCTTCGTCAGGCACTAAAAACCGTGTTGCGATTGAATTAGGAATTTAGAAACATAAGTACAGGAAAACTGAGCACGATGTGTATGCATTAGGCTGAACGATAAATCATGTGTATTTTAGGGGACATAGCCTATTATCATATTTCTGATTTCCATAATAAATCAAGGAGGGTGATTGGCACCATTCTATAACAGTAATGTTTCTTGTCCTGACTATAATATTACAAATTCCAATTATTTTAAAGTTATTTTGTAGGTATTGCTATTTATAAGTAAAGCTGATTATTAACGATTCTTTATACACTGATATACATTATTTCTATTGTTGAAGACAATGGACTATCAACGTTGAAATGTCGAATCATACGACTTGAAAAAGTTATGAAACACGGAATGAATCTACATGTTGACTAACTGAAAAAAAAAAAAATATTGGATATACTTCCGTGTAAATAACAATTGAAAACGTTACTTCATAACAAGTAGGCTCCTAGAAGTCACGTACATATTGATTAGACGTGCGTTATCGTAATATTCCAAAAATAGCTATGCTTTGTTTTCTTATATTTATAACCATTAATATGTGATCATTATGAAAAATTATTTAAATATGCCTGAGACTTACAAGACGTTAACCTCTAAGAGACAGCAAGAACTTGGTAGGCTATGAGTAGCTTTAAACTTGAAGCACAATTATTATTTTTTTCTTATAATGTAACCGCATCAAATTTCTAACATTTAATCTGCCACATTGAAATAAACATTATATGTTATATTTTTTGTTTAAAACGGTATTTCAGAGATTTCTCTTCTAAACCTAGAAATGTGTTTATCCTTTAAATGACAACTTATAATAGAAACAAAAAATGATATTTTTTTTCAGACCCTGTTCAAGCTCTGCATCTGGCTGGCGCAGAACATCATTGGAATCCTTATGCTCCACCTTACCCATCATACCTTGCATCAACATCTTCAATACAGGGATCCGCATTCCCAGCGCCACCAGTAAATTATACGTTAGAGGACGCTTTGGCAGGAACTACTCACCATTCTTGCTCCAATTCGATACAGTTAACCGCAGGTAGGTAACTAATTATGTTCGTGGCTTAAATACTATTCTCGACTACATTATATCTAACACATTCTTGTATTGTTCTTCAAATTTCATAAGTCGTTGTCTCATTTTTTCCTTCTTTGGAAATAACACATTTTCTAAAGAAAATACGACCACCGATAGTCGCAACAATTCAAAAAGTGGTACACAACTGTCAACTAGAGGTCTTCATGATTAAATGGTAAAACACTTTTTTAAATATGTTAGGAAACCCACGTCAATGACCTTTAGTTCAGTAATTTGATGCTTAACATTGACGTGAATTTCTAATATATTTGAAAATGTACTGTAGCGAATTTATTTGAAGTATCAATACTGTAGCTACAAAGTTACAGAATTAGGTCGTGAATATCTCAAATAGCTAGCAAATATAGCTAAAAAAGACTAAGTTAATAAATAGAAATGACATCGAAGACTTAGCTTACTATGTCTCCAATTTTTTGGGACGGATCAAAAGGAACCGGAAGAAAGATAATATTTATGAAGCCCACTTATATGATCAACACCTCAACTGTGTGTGTTCTCGTTTTAATGGTATAGAAATATGTCATCGTCTTGATAAATTATGACCAGATTTACCCAGTATGTTAACATAAATACTTCGAATCACTCTATAGTTGCCGTGAAAGATTATCGTGCTTCCAAGACTTCATTTCATAAAGGTTTGAAAATATCGTAGTTAATCATATACGACATAAAATAGGATAACTGAATCTACTGTGTAATGCAGTATTAAAATCGTGTCATTATTCATTAAGACGTTTGCCAGTTTTTATAATTAGTTCAGTGAGTTCTAATAGCAATAGCATGATTTTTGGGAACATCATTCACAGATGATATCCACACATTTGACTCATGTAAAGGACCTGCGATGTAAGCTTCAATCTGATTTTTAATGTGACTCATGTGATTTAAGTTTCAATCTGAATTTTAACTTGACTCGTATAAAGGACCTTTAACGTAACTTTTAATTTGAATTTTAACTTGACTCATAAAGAGGATCTGTGACATTGATATTTTCGTGGAACTAACTTGAAGGTAATTATAAGTATGTTTATTTCAAGTTAACGATACTTCAATAAACAATTCAATTATAAAAATATATATTTAAGTGATGACAAAGCAAAAACCACGTTATGAAATTATATCCATTTCCCAATCAGCTCAGTTTAACGCACATCAGGTATCTGGTGATCCATCATATGATCTAACACACGAGTAGTCATTTTAGTCTACGCTCGTAAATGAACATTTTGTAGAGATAGCGTTATATTTTTCAGTTCATGACTTTTCACTTCAATATGATCACTACGAACAGTAAGAGCATCACGATACTGGTGTTACATGAATAAAATTAGAATAAAGTCCTAAATTATCCTCAACCACTCTGTGAAAGACCTGTTTGCAAGACATAATTACTGTCCAGAATAATTTGAGAGGGATACAATGCATCTCTGAAACAACCCATACATGCTTTAAAGAATTGAAGTCTAGTGAGAATACAGACATATCATTCGGCTAGTTCTCCATTTCTAAAAGAAATGTGTCCACCACTTTATAACAGTATGGTCTTGCGTTATCTTTTGTAAGGCTGAAATCAAGGTCCATAGCATCAGCAAATTTTAGGTCAAAAAGTCTTAGAATGTTGTCCGTACAAAGTGTGATGTTAATGGTACCATTCCATAGGATGTTGAAATCTATATGTCCAACAGTGTTTATTCCTATTAACACCATCTTTTCATCAAACACACACACACTCATAGACGTCACGCTCCTGTAAAGAACTGGTTATGAATTTTATTTCAGATTCTCTCCAATGACGATGTTTGTTATGTGTCTATATGCGACTCATATGTAAAATAATATAGATTCATATTATTAGTCTACTGGACCCATTCTTGGCTTTATGAAGACGGTTTAAAACCGTCTGTACACTGACACGGGGTCCAATTGAGACTACAGACAATCTGGTCTAGTTTCGGAGTAGAAACTCTTACCATTGAGGCACACCAGAATCGACGTGTAACGGTTGTCTGTTTATGTTATAGATAATATTCTGCCTTATTCGAGTGCACGAGCAATTTCGCCATCGGTCTAGAAGCGGTTTTATATTCCACTCACGATATTATGAGACAGTTGTAGCCAATTTGTACTAGCTGTTCTGATTGGCTGACTTCCATTCGTCGTGATGGTTCACTATGGTGAAACTTCCATGAGTTTTAGTGTGTTTTTTTTAAGTTGCAGGTGCGGTTCATGAACAATTTGGAACACTTTAAACTTCAAAGTGACAAATGATATAATGTTTTGTGACATCATTTTATGTACACACATATATATATAGGCTGAATTGCTAAACATTAGTATTTCAAATCGCTAGGTGCCTGATTTACGTTGTTATGAAGCAGTAGTTTTGCCTTGTCATAAATAAATATTGCAAATTTCAAGTATCCTTTAGTTGTTTTATGCAGTGCACATGAGTTGATGAGCACTTTGATGATACTGATACTAAAAAGTTACAGGTATTCTTAAAGCTAAAACAAACTTTTTACGAGTTATGAGAAAGTTAATAATCCACTTTCCAGCTCTTAATATAAACGTACTGGATATATTATTTTGAATTTTTTCATTTATAATGTTCTCGCTTATTGCAGGATTATCTGAACGCGGAGGAGGAAGCTCTTTAGCTGCTCTAAACGACCAGAACAGTGCTCTTGCTCTAAAGACAGACTCAATATTAGTATCTCGATACAACAATGCTGTAGCTGCAGCAACTGACTTTTGTTTATCGAATAGATTGTCCGAACTGCGACAGGGATTAGGCGGGATTAACAGCGCTGGGATTAACCAACAGACACCCAGCACTACGGTACCGCTCTTATCGGCCAACGGCGCTGCCTCTTGCTTGTCGGTCAGTCACGGAGGGTATGGAATTTTGGCATCTCACAGTTGCTATGGCAACGGAAACGGTAATGCAGCAGCTGCTGCCGGGATGTATTTGAGTCCTCCTGTGGTTCCCCCGTCCCTCCTTTATCCTCAGCTTTATTCCAGCGTCTCTCAGTCTCAAATTCATCCATCTCTACATCTTTTGGGTAATGAGCTTAGATCAGCTGTGGATGTTACCCTCGCTACCCAACAACATCATCGCAACGAACAACTGGTTGCAGGACTAACCAATATGGCAGCCTCTCGAGCAAACAGCAGCTCCACGGATGGTACGATCCAATCGGAAAGCAGTAACAGCGAAGACAGACAGACAAATCACGTGACTCCAACGGTTAGCGGAAGCACTCTTTTTGGAGCTACTAATGTACACAGTGATCCGACATTATGGAGACCCTACTGATATGTTCAAGTGTCATGTAAAATAATTTATTCTGTAAAAATGTCGCCGACTTCTTCTGTGTTGAACAATTCATCATCAAGTCACTAAGCTTTCGTAAATAGACGTTCATATTTATCCTATATTGTGGGCTCTTTCCCGAGAAAACGGTTGTAAATTGTCAAATTTCGAATGTTGTCTATATGAAATAATAATAAACAACCAGAATCACGAGAAATAAATATATTTAATGCACTTTTTTCTTTATTTACGTTAAATTCAATGACAGCGAAACATTATGCTAGGAACACATTCCAGTGTTTTGTATTTTTGTTAAGAACCGTACAAGTTATGATAGACGTATGTTTACTTTAACAGTTTAATTTTTAATATTACTCTATACCATTTCATTAAGTGTCTGTTATATGTTATGTATAGTGTCTCTTGTGACTTGGGAACGTTTTACATAATTTTTAATGTTTAATAGAATTGTCGCGGCGAAGCCATGTAAATAGAAACTTGACATCTGTTGTGTCCAATAAATATTAATTACTAGTGAAATTTTGAATGACTCGATTTTCTAAAAACCCAACATCTATCACAATCACCCTAAGTGTTTCAAAATATTTACCTTAATAAAAGGAAATCAACACAGTCTTCAATTACAAAGTGAAAAACTTGCGTCTGTATTAACGCTTAGATTACCACACTGTAATAGAAAAGTTATACAATTAGCGTGTTTGAATGCTCCGAAAAACTAAAACATTGCCAAGCAGATTCTCCTGAAATGTATTAGACACAGTGTATTATATCCAGTACTATACGCCCTTACTTGCGAAAATATTACATGTGTAACATATGTGCCATTGGGGATGTTTCTGACAGAGTGTAAAAATATCACCCCGTCTGCTCTTAAACAAAACCTAAAGCCATTCAAGAAGGACTGGTTCACCTGGATATTTAGACAGAAACTAATGACGATAGGGTAATGATATTTACGAAACAAAAATAGTATACATGCATATTTAGAAACACACATTTCATAAAACAATATGTTGGAATTGGTAATATTTTATCCTTTTAATATTTTTATAGTTGCCTAATAATAACGTGAAAGTGGAGTTTACTTATTGTGTTATGTTAAGATGAACCGAAGGCTTGCTTTAGCAGATTAGAGGGATTTTGCATCTTTAAAATCAAAGACGATCTATAAAAGTTGGAAGAACGTCGTTAATAGGTGAGGCAAGTATTAATGAATCTCCCACGAGCTACAATATGTGACATGTAAAGACAAAAGCTATGACCTTTTACACGCTTTCTTTTGTTGCCATTGATCAATCCGTAGAGAAATTTAGGAACAAAATCTCCACCGTAGGTAATTAGTAATCCCATTTGTCAGCTCAAGAACGTCAGATTAGGAAAAAAATTACTGGGCATGCGCAAACACTATAGCGTGAGATGCGTTCAAACTTCGAAGAAAAATGAAGAAAACAAAAGTGCATCGGTAAAAGTGACATATATTTTTCAAAATGGTTTAAAAAAAACAAGGCTTGAAATAAATATATTGTTCTTGCAAGAAAATGAGAATGTATTTGAATATATATAAAGTAACGTACTAAAAATTCTTTAACAACTTTGAATAGAATTATTTTTTTGTTGCCCACCACAGGTATCGAAACCCGATTTTGAGCGTTATAAGCCTTCAGTCTTACAGCTGAACCACTGGGGGGAGGGGTGAGAGATAGAGGATTGTACAAACACCCGAAAGCTGTTCGTAGATCATCTATTTACGTACATTTTAAATATTGTTTAGCAAGCCTAATTTGTATTGCTATGTGCGATAAACTGAAATAACAGCTATTCAAATTGTAGTGTAAAAATAATATTATAGTATATACGTTGAAGAAATAACGAAATTTGGTATCATTGTAGATCAAACTCGAAATATATTTTCCTAGCAAAATCTTCTGATAGTCCTCTTTTATTATATTACATAGAAGACTTTAGAAACGCTCCCTGTAAAAAATGTCAAGCTTTATGAAAGTTGATTTAGTAGAAACGACACCCCTTTGCTTTTAAAGCTTTCTTGTTTCCAAATGTGTGTGTGTGTGTTAGGGTCTATCACGAAGTCCATCGGCTTCAAGCAGTCATGTTAAATCAACATATATTATAGAAGAACAAGGCCGGAAATATCAGACTAATAACAAATAAACATTAGAAATAGTTCTAACTGAACACTTAAATACTGAGTTCTAATACGAACGATTTTTGTTGTTGTTTGTTGCTAAACACAAAGCTACGCAATGGGCTATTTGTGTTGTTCTCACCACTGGTATCGAAACCCGGTTTTTAGCGTTATAAACATTCAGACTTGCTACTGAGCCATTGGGGAGGGGGCAATACGAATGAAAAGACGCCGATCTGAAACATTTTAATATCAAATGTAGCAAAATATTTAACGAATCTTATTTTTAAGTTTTTGTCTACGTTTGTCATTACAGATTTTGTTTACTTAAGTTATTGTTTGATTGAAGTTATGCACAAGATTACACACTGGGCTATCTGTGCTCTGCCCACTACGGGTATCGAAACCCGGTTTCTAGCGTTGTAAGTCCGCAGACATACCGCTGTGCCACTGGGGGGCACTTAAGTTATTATGGCTGTTGCTTATCCGAATTATTCTACAGTGGGAAGTAGTTATGTTTATAAATGACAGATATGTATTATATTTAACAATAATTTCGAATAATTGAATATTGTTAAGTCGGTCTATGTTAATGTAACAAATAAAGTATTTACTAGCACGTTTAATTATATTTCTGTCTATATTAAAGGTTATATAGTGGTGTTATCTGTGTATGCAGAAGGTTAATATGTTTTATCGACGTTTTGTTTGTTTGTTGTTAAGCGCAACTCTATACAATGGGCTATCTGTGCTGTGCCCACCACGGCTGTCGAAACCCGGTTTTTACCGTTGATTCTTTAACTAAGTTAAACAATAATTATACGTTTGTCAGGTTAATATTTGCATCCGGTCAAATTAAATAACTTATGTTGCCATGGTTACTTTCGTTAAGAAGTATTAGAAAGTGACATGTATTAGTAGGGTTAATATTAGTATTAGGGTGAACCCAATGTGAATGAACCAAATAAATTATGTACGTAAGATTTTGTTTTAAATAATGACTGAACATTCGAATACTACACTTCCATATACGTCTGCTATAAAAATTTAATGCATAATTTCAGAAGTTGAGATAGCATAAAGAAACGGTAACTGGAATGAAGAAACACTTTCCTGTCATCTAAGTTTATGTATTCTCATATTGACTTTATTCTCATAATACATATGCGTATTTCTTTCATTTCTTTTTTTTACTTATATACAGAAGTGAGACTGGGCGGTATCTAATTTACAACATGTCTTTTACTGCAGCTTCAATCAACCAGATTAGAATATCAATTCCAACAGCATCGTTTGATTTCACATGCAGATAGGTCTCCTAGGGTATTCATTTCCCGGAGAATAGACGCACAATCTATCATTCATTTGAGTGCAATCACTTTGGTGACATAAATAAATGAGGAGTCATATTCTTCTAGCAGTGGCCATTGTATGAGACCAAAAATCTTGATAATTGATAGCGAAGAGGGAGGAAAAGGGAGTTGGGAGTTAGCAGAGAGAGAGACTTGATGACGCGAAATATGACGAATGTCCTTTCTTTATCGACGCACGGTCGACGTGTTAATTGATTGATGATTCTTCGTCCTCCGACATTAAACTTTCAAGTCACGGTTGACGCTAATAGGCACTTAGAGACTCAAGAGTTCGAACTAAAGTAAATAAAACTACTATCTAAGTATTTAGAATGTATTAGAAAGTGAGTTTAAATGCTGGTGTAATTTAATACGTTTCAAATACTTCAATATCGTGACTAAAAATGTCTCTAAAAATACTTCTAAACTTTATCTTCGATGTAATATTGTTTGCTTAGTATTTCCGCGTAAAGCTACACAAGGGCTATATGCACAAAACGGTCCTTAGTTTACAACTGATAGCCTAGAGGGAGGGCAGCAAGTCAACAGTATCCACCACCAGCTCTTGGGATACTCTTGTGTCACTTTTAAAAATAATTAACGTGTAATATTATATATGAGTGTGTGTGCGCGGGGGGGGGGGGCATTTTTGGTTCGTGCCTCATTACTGCAAAAATTAATAAGTAAATAAAATTGCATTTCGCATTTTTGGATTATGGGTGCGCTATAAGAGGAACTGTCAAATCCCACTATTTTATGAAAATAGACCATGAGTTGGTGGGGGAGTGGTGTTGACTAGCTGCTTTCCTTCTAGTATATCACTTCAAAAACTAGAGAATTACTCGAGTAATTTTGCGCGAAATCTAACAAAATCAACGCATGTATTAATATAATCTATTATTACAAACTCATTAATATAATTTTATTTCTAACCAAAAAGAATTGTATATTTTGTTTAAGCCTAATAACTTTAGAAGAACAAATATCCCCCAGTGGCACAGCGGTATGTCTGCGGACTTACAACGCTAGAAACCGGGTTTCGATACCCGCAGTTGGCAGAGCACAGATAGCCCATTGTATATCTTTGTGCTTAATTACAAACAAACATAAGAACAAATATTAAAAACGTACTTATGGTTAATTAATTAATACTTAATACGTATTAATTTTTACGCTCCATTAAGTATTATACATGATGCATGGTTAATTTTAGGATAGATATAAATAAATGGATTTGACCATTAATCTTAACGTACACCCACGTCCACAAAGTGAGGAGTGCGTTTTTGCTGCAAAAGGATGCAAAAATTGAAATCTCGGATTTACAGTCTTCATTTATGAACCACTAGGTCACTCCCGGCTGATATCATTTTGAATATGATGACGAAGAAGGACAAATTTGTACGTCGTATTACTTTGAAATATTGAAGAAATGAATTGTTTGTCATATTGTTTGTCATATACATATTGTTTGTCATATACATTTTATCCTTGATATTTTCAAGATGTCTTCAGTTAAACCAAAATAAATCTAATTTTTGTAATAGTCAATATATCAGTAAACTAAAACTACAATTCTGATCAGAAATATTTTCATGTATTTAGAGCAGTAATCGAAAACCTTTGATCTTTTGTCAGTTTTTACCTAATGTTTGTTTGTTTTTTTTTTAATTTCGCGCA